TTTTTGGAGTGGTTTTCTAAAATGTAAAATTGTACATGTTGAGGGGGATGCAAAGAAATTATGATTACTGTTCTTTCCAGTGAAAATGGCCAAAATGGGCTCTTAACTCATTTAATCTTATGATTAAATCATAAGTGTCTGTCTGCATTTTTTATTTGCATATGAGATAAACATCCATCAATGTGGACTGGCCTAGGTAAGAGTCTGTATATCTGGCAGTCAGGGAGTGGGGCTTTTGGTTGTGTGATTTTTGCTTATATTTTTTTATTTAATCCTTTGAAAACTTTGAAAACAACAAGGCCAATGCCCTTTCTGTGATGTAAGGTATTTTAAAACCTCAAATGTCGCTCATCCTCTTGTCCTTTTAATGAATTTGTGCATTCCGTGAGTGCTTATGAATCAGACAGCAGAGACATAATGTGTATTCATTTCAGTTAGTGAATTTAAACAAAAACCCCTGTGGCTGTTGATTACAGCAAATACTTACCTTATTTTTTTTTGTATAAATCACTTAGAGGTTCAAGTATTTTGTCACGTCATAGGATTTTAAGAGAGCCTAATGGTTGGATTCAGCTTGCATGCTGTAGGTGCCATTGTGATCTGTGGCAGAACCAGCATCTCTAAGGAGACCATCCAGGTGAGGGATCTGCCTCTCTGCATTGGTGATACAGAGAATTTTGGGGTGTGTCTGTGGTTGCACATACTGATGGCAGTGCAGGGACATGGCCAGTCTACACCTCACACTGTTACCTTGGACCTCCTTTAAGATGGAGAGTGTGTCTGTGATATGGATGGCCAGCATGCTGGGATTTAGTACTGGATAAATCAGCCATCTTTTGATGGTAAATGGTCAGGAAAGGTTGTCTTAACTTGAACTTGATTCTGATCTTCTGGGTTTCTGGTGGCAGTCGTATACAAGGGGCAAAGACTTTTACCATTCAGATGGTAGGGCCTTTCTTGTTTGGTTTTTTTTCATGTGGGTGCTCAGAAAGTCTACACCTGGTGCACGCAGAGGATCACTGCAGTGAGAGGTACTTACAAAGAGACAACCAAGCAACCTAAAAAACCCCCAAGATGCAGAAGTTGTCCCTGACTGACCTACCGTATTTGACCCTCTGTGCAAAGGAGGAGAGCGCCTGTGTCCCTCTGCCATCCTTGTGTATGCTGAGCCTGGCTCTGTGAGAGTGCAGGTTTACTTGTGTTCCATTTTGTGTCTCCTGTCTCTGATTTTGTGAGCACAGTGTGAACCATAATGGGAATACAATGCCCTTGAAAAATCTGCCCAGGACTTGTGTCGTGATTGACAAAGGTGTTACATTTGGAAGATGCAGTTATATGTAACATAAAGACAGAAGGGAAATAATTTTCCTTGTTTGGAAAAGCTAAGCAAATGTTTGTTGCAGTTCTGCTGGTAGGGAAGATGACACTGGAAAATACTAAAGTTCTCTAACTATTTAAGTTCCAGTGAAAACTAGACCATACATGAACATGCTGCTCCTTATTACCTGAGAGGGACTGTGGTCATCATATTTTGTGACCAGTTATATTACTGGAAGTAAAAATGTTAGCTTCCCCCCACGTTTTTTTCATTATGCTTTTAAACCTATTACAGAACTTTGGAGTTCAGCATATTAAAGTTCATGTGCAGTTAGCAAAGTGGCACATTTTCTGTATAGACCCCAAATCTTAAATTACCGTGTATCGTCAAATCATGTAGTAGCTTTCCACAAATCACTGATCACATAATAACAATATGAATTTCTTAGGTAGCAGTAAAGTGTTAAAGAGTTAAATATTCCAGGCTTTGTTTGTTCCTCATCTGGAAACACAGAGAGAGAAGATGAGATATGCCATATAGCTGATCTTTTCTCAGCACTTTCGTAAAGGCTGAAAGATATTTTCTTTGGTGCTTCACTGACTTTTGGTAAAGTGAGGTGAGAAAGTTCCATTTTCTGTCATGAGCCAACCAAAACCCAGCATGTTTCCAGGGTCCAATTTTAAATTTCTGTTCACATTGCAAATTGATGTGAAACTGCAGCTATTGAGATTTTCTGGCACATACAAAACATTTGTTCAGCTAGAAAACGAGTAGGGGAAAAGAGCCAGCAGTGACAGTTGGATGAGAGCACGTTGGAGTGCTGAGAGGTGGAACACCTGGCATCAGGGAATGGGGGAGGTATAGTCCATTGCTCTGTATCTGGATGCAGAACATCTGTGAGAGTGGGCGTTGCAGCTTTGTTCAGGACTACCACTTTCAAGATCTGGATTCTTTAACACTGGTGCTCTGTGAAGTCTGATGCTTTGATGTTAGATGAAAAAAAAATAAACTACAGACTCTTTTCCAGTAATTAGTTTGATATTTTTGTAAAAAATGATCTTGTCAACAAAGTTTGTAAAATTATAACCACTCTTTAAATGGGCTTCAGTTATTTCTGGGTACTATAGCCCATGCCTGTAGCAGTAGCCCCAGGCTGCTCCTGGGTGTTGTTCATTAGCAGTGGGAAGGACTTTTCTCTTGCTGCAGTACCTGCACAGGACATCACATGGAGGGGTTCTCAGGGTTTCTACATTTAGTCAGATCTGTTGATGAGATGTGAAGAGCTTCACATTGCTTGCTTTCATTATAGTTTATTATATGCTGTGAATGTTGTTCTTTGGTATAATGAGAGTGTGGTTTGTTTTCTCTTTTCTTTCTTTTGGTAGTCCAGAGTCAGATTGGATTGTTCTGTGCAGAAATGTGAAGACAGAATGAGCTGGAATAGTTGGTGTGTTTCTGGTCTGCAGATAGCTTCACAGATCACATTTGTCCATCTGCCTTGATAAGAAATTCTGTAAATCACAAAGTTGAAGACTTAAGCCATTATAATTTTTTATCTTGTTCTTACTACTTTATTGTTCAATCATCCGGAAAAAAAACTCTTTAGTTCCTTCTAAACCCTACACCAACTCTACCATGAGGTAATACCTCTGAAGTGTAGGTTTACTGTGGGGATTAACTGCAGTGTTACTGTTCCTGAATGCATATTTAATGTAAAAGCAGGAGAGGTGATGTTGGGAAGAACCTCAAAGAATCACATTAGTTCAGAGTCCCTATTAATAAAAATGTATTTTTGTTTGCCCTGGTTTGTTTTAGCTGTCTATTTTCTTTAAATAGCCATGAATTATATTTTGCAGCAGGAGTGATAAGATCCTGCTGACTTGAGTGAGGCTTGACATGGTTCACTAACAATGTAGTGTATTTATGTTAGTAAATGGTGTCATTTTGAAATTTATCACATGCTCACAAATATTCTTCCTTCTTGCCCACTTCTCTGGAATTATTAGACAGACAGTTGAAGTAGTGGCTTCAGTTACTCTGCTGGTAATTGGATTAACAATTCAGTATGCAGTAATGAGTTTTCTCTTAGCTGAAGATTGGGAATTCAAATAATGCTTATTTCTCATTGCTGTAATGCTGTGCTTTTGAATACTTCTGATATTTAATCCTTTCTTTAAAAAAGGGTGTTGCCATGTAACAGTCCTTATTCTTAGTATTCAGAAAATGTTTTTTTTAGTTCAGCTTCTTATACTTTATTCAGAGTTGTGCTTGAAACTTTAAAGGTACTTTAAAGGATACCTTACTGAAGTAGGATAGAAACCTGTATTTTTTCCAATTAAAAATTAACTTTTGAAAATAATTTCTTAATTTTTGAGCTTGTTTTTAAGTTCTTCTTAAGAAAAATGGACGTTTAGGCTCCCTTCCAACCCAGTGGTTAAATGTATACTTAACTTCTAAACATCTGAGTAGGTTTGCTGACTTCTGTAAGTACACACGCCATGAGGCTTTTGATGAATTCACTCACTACAACCTGTTTGAGAGCTGCTGCAGCGGGGCTGGTGCTGGGCAGAGGGAGCTGGGAAGCTCGCAGCATCCATGCTGATGGGCCTTGGACACAGTGGTGTCAGTGGGAGCACCACCAGCTGAATTAAATTTGCAGAACTGCTGTCCTTGCAGAACCTTGAGTGTTGTAATTTAGAAAAATCGTAATGGCCAAAGATTGCTCTGAAGTGGTGAGAAAGCAATTTTCCAACTATGCCCACATTACTGGTGTGATCCCTTGGCCACTTCTGTTTCTGCTCTTGAGAAAGGTTTGATTTTTTTTAGTGGTCCTCAGCCTGCTGTTGATGTAACACACACTGACCGTGTTGCCTGTCCACTGACATAAGTGCTGTTATCTGAGTAAACATGGTCCAAATGCTTTCTGTTACAACAGGATTGTAAATCAGTCTGAACAAACTTACATATATTCAAAACCCTGCAGAAAGGGGGGTTATCTTTTTCTTTTTTTCCTTTGGGGAGTGAGTATGCAATACAGAGGTATCTTTAAGCTCCTTCTTATTCTCACCTGACTTTTGATTTTTTAAATTAATTTCTTCTAAAAACTGGCAGAATGACAGAAGTCTCATAGTTACTGAATTCCTACTGCGTTTGGAGCAGTCCAGGGCTGGATGTAAGTGACCTTATCAGTTCTGAGGAAAGCAGAGACTGGTTAGGCAAAAAGGCTTCAGGACATTTGTCTAATTATAGATTGCTTTTTCTAATACATTTCAAGAATAATACTTTTCCAGCTGTATCAGTTTACAAAGTGAATCCTATTGATATCCTGCTAGATAGAAAACACTATTTTAGTAGTTATATTTGATCTATAATTAAATTGTGTTTTGTTTTCAGTAGTTTTCAGTTTTGTTATACGATAGGACATAATGAAATTAATCTGTACATATATAATATGCATTTTAAACTAGTTACATAAAATTGGTGGTAGATGTTTTAATGTAGAAATGTTTTAATAACTTTTCTTTCTTATAAAAAGTGTAATTTTTTGTCATTTGGTGTTGATTAATAGACTGTTGTAGGAGATCATGTAAGAGTATGTTATTACAGTAAAATGCTTTTGAAAAAAGTTGACATGAATCCTGCATTTGCCAGTTTTGTAACCTTCGTATTCCTTCCTCATTAGAACTATGCAGCATTGATACAGCAACAAATCGATGAGGACAAACAAAACTTGAGAGAAAAGACTGTTTATGGACTCCAGCTCACAGAAGAAAAACTTAATGACTTCCGTGATGAACAGATTGGGCAGCTGAAGGAACTGATGGACGAGGCTACCAAACCTAATAAAAAAATCACCATTTCTGAAGACTCAAAATACAAAACCTAAAAGATTTTGAAAATTGTTTTATTACATATGGAAGCATTTTGAAACTTCCTTTTCCCACTGGAGTTGAATGTGGTTTCTGTGAAATAATGGTCGCTGCTGATGCCATAACTTCTCTGGCTATTTGGCTTTTTGTGCAAGAATAAATATAAAATGGAATAATCACAACACTGCTATTTTAATTGCAGTATTTTTTCTCCTTTATTGTTTTCTCCTAATGAAAGGTGAAGACTGAAAGATTTCGGTAAAAGTAAAGTGACATTTTTAAAATATAAAGTTGTTAGTTTTGTTTTGTTTTGTTTTTTAATTTTGGCACCTGTAGGACAAAACATCTTCCTCTTTGTGTATCATCCCCTTCCTTAATGGAAAAGATGCAGTTATCATTTATTTTCTGGCTTGGATTCAGCAGACAAAGGTATGGTACTAGAGTCAGTTTGTTTTGATGGAAAGAAATGAGCAGTATTAGGAAAACATACTGCTGGGGAAATTGGTTTTCTTCTTGAGCTTTATTGTGAAATGTGCTTAAAAGTAAAAGATGTAGCTCACTATTAAATTAATCTTGAAGGAATCACTGTCTTAGGAAGAAAATTCTGCATTTTTTTCAAAGGTAGACTCAGATCTTTGTTAATACCTAAAATTTTTAAAAGCCTTTTATGAGTGGGTTGTGCTGTAGTTAGAATTTAAAGGTTTTCTAAAAACTCGGTATCCTATATTATCCAGTATTTGGTATAGACCGGAATTTGTAAATACCTTCAGTTTCAATCACAGAAATTATCCTGTTGATAATACTGCATGACAAACATTACTGTTTTATTTCTAATAGGTTAAGTCTTCAGTAGGACAATGCTTATCTATTGTAACATATACTGTTGGGACTAAAGAAAGATTTTTATCTGTTAAGAAAAAACACATCCTTTTCTCTGCAAAAGACAGCTTTCATTTCTTCTTCCAAACCTAGTTTTATATTATTAGTTTTGTTCTATTTCTGAACCTTTCCCTGTCTGTTACCCACAGCGTTTTCAGGACAACATAATTTCTTTGCTCTTGAGGGATAACAGCTTTGACAAGTAACCACATTTCCATCTGTCTCGGTTTGTAACAACATGCTGTTCGCCAAAGCTGTGCCCCTGGATCCTAATGGGGTGGAGGAGCAATCTGGGGAACAGCCTTTTTCTTTCTCCCTTATCTCTCTTCCCAATTCTTTGATGGGATTGTAGGTTGCAGGTTGCTCATTTCTATTAAAAGTTCAATTGCAAGACTCCTGTGTGAGAAACACTTATGCTTGCTTTCCTGCATCTTCCTCTGGTACCCCTAGCCTTTGTTGCTTGTGCTGCAGGAACATCCCTTAGCCTCAAGCACCTAATCCAAGTAGGACTGAAGGGCAGAGATGACACCCAGACTGCAAGGCTGAGGTTCACGAGTCCTGATTTTTGGTGCTTCAGGGGCACGGTTGGAGAGAATGGCAGCTCCCTTCTGGCCTGCTCTGTACCTAGGTCCTGCCACAGCATCCAAGTGGGAAGCAGATGGGACATGCACGCAGGAAGCTTGAAGCAGTATCAGTCTCTGATACTCCCATTTACACATTGCTTAAGCTTTTTTCTTTTTAAAGTTCAAAGTCTGTGCAAGTCTAATCCAACTCCGGAGTTGAGGACATAAGGATGTATTCTGTTGCACTTCCATCAGATGTACAGTAATCAGTAATTGCATCACTAAATCTATTCAGTTTTCATACCAAAAATGATGTTTAGGTGTTGACAACAGAGTTTGTTTCCCTCCTTGACTGCTAGTACACATGTGCCCGCTTTCCAGTCAATAACCAAGTTGCTTCAAATTTACTTCAAATGCTGCAATTTAAAGCACAGTTGCTTTTATCAACACATTTGATGAAACTTGTTAGTTCAATGAAACTAGAGTACTTGTTTTGCATCTGTCTACTCATGTATGCACCTAGATAATGCACATTTTTAGAGCCTAAATTAATAACGGAAAATTGCTATTTGGTATGAAAAACTTAAGCATATAATGAGATTTAAAGGGAGTTGGAGGTGAGGGTAGACATCTTAACATCCGTAGTCCCTTTTCTAGTAAATCCAACAGCTTTTTTCTTTCATTCCCCCTGGTGGCTTGTATTTTGTACAGTTTTTGTGCCTTGTTTAAAACAAGTCTTACAAAAGCCAAAATTTCATAATAGGAATGAAACATCTTTAAAGGTTGTTGGTTTTAAGACAGCCAGTGCTAGTAGTAAGGCATGCTCTGATCTGAGTAGGGCTTATGCAAGTGGTGGGCACAAATGGCCCCAAAGAAGCTTCGTGATGCCAACACTGCTGTGCTTAGTGAAATTCTTTAATTTACAAGAGTGGTTAATGACAAGTTAAAGAAGATGAAGAAGACAATGGGCTTCTCATCTTGGCCACAGAAAGACAAAATGACACAGATTCTTCTGTTTCTTTACTTGTGAGTTATAGGATACTTTCTGTGGAGAATTTTACCCTGGGATTGAAGGACAATGAGCGGAGGAAAGCATCCATCAAAAATACTTCAAAACTACAAGCAGCATGCTATTTCAAATGGCAAAAGAGTTGTTTAGAAAAAAAAAGATGCTACTCACCTTAAAATGAAAAATGACTCTGATCACTTCAGAAATGAGTATAGAGTTTTGTACTCTCTGTGTGTTGGATGGATTGCTGTTATACAACTCACCACTAAGAAGCTCCTACCACCCTAAAAAGCCTTCTCTCCATTCAGTTTATCCATTAAGAAAGATTCTTTATATTTTGTTGATCTTAAATCCATTTGGCTCTTATAGAACTAAAAGAGAGTGATAAAATTCACTGCTTGATTTGACTGAACCTTATCTGTGGTAACATTTTATATAATCGCCTGGCAACTGGTAGGAGTTGGAGGGTGCAGAAGTTTTAGGTAGCTGGGAAAGGCACGAACTGAAGTCTTAGCAATATGTAAAGAAATTTTCAGAAATTTCTGTCTTATTAAAAATTACATGATATGCAAATACAAAAAAAACCCCCTAAAAATGTCATTCTTCCAGTGTTTTATTACGCTTTTTTAAACTGTCCATCCAGGAAGAGCTATTGGGACATACTTCTTCCTTAAAAATAAATTAATAATGTAACATATTGAAAGTAGGATTTATGAAGAAATTTCTCAGCTATTTGGAGTTTAATCTTTTTGATTTATTAGCGGACATTCTATTTCTTCTTCTTGGATACGTATTTATGAGATGCTGGCTATTCACTGAGTCAGTGGCCAAATTTTAACTGGCTTTTAGGTAAAAATATTGAACAATTAATGAAGGAAACATGCCTTTCCCTGCATGTTATAACTTATTTTAATTTTTACTTTTTATAGCTGAACTAATATAAGAGGGAAGGTTGAATTTCTCAGCAGACTGATTTACTCAAGTGCAACCACGGAGGATCGATGTACCTTTGATGTAGGGTGAAAACTGAATCACTTTAAAAAACAGCTCACATTCTAGGGCAGAAGATGTCTCTAATGCTGTCCTGCTTAACTGTTGATTTTCACACCTCTTGGAAAGGGTTTCAAGGTAAATGCTTCCTGCTGGAGGGTATAGATGCACCAGCAGAGGTTTTGCAGGGCTTGTTTGGTGAACAAAACTGCCTGAACCACCTCCTGCTGCACCATGTCCTGGTGTGGGACCAGGCTTGGTGTGCCAGTATTTGAGAGCCTTACACTGAGCAATGGTGGTGCAGAGAGGTCTTCCCCACTGAACTGCATCAGGAAGCTTGCTGCAAAGATTGGCACAAATCAAGTGGTTGGTGTTAGAAGTGATAACATTTGCAGCTGTAAATGGTCTGCTCTTGTTCACGGAGGTTACGTATCTGATGCAAAACCACTGGCTTTGGTAGGAACATTTTCAGCAGTTTCAGTGTCCACAGCTCTGCTCTGGGAACAGTCTTGACAGTGCTGAGTCCTTCCAGCTTTTCCAGTGGTTTCTGTCTACCAATTACAGCACACGAAGATGACAGAATTTAATTTTGTTTGGATGCAGCCATTACATAAGCATAATACAAAGTATTCTTTGTTCATTGAAATTGAGAGTGATAAGTCAGTGTGTAAATTCAGTGTATAAATGACTAAGAACGGAATGGTTTTGCCACTTGTAGCAGTGTGTTATGAGTAAATGTCAGGTGTTTCAACTAGCTTATTTACATGGTGTATGATCCTGCCCAACCGATATGTGTGTCTGGGGAGTTCAGTGTTTAATCTGCTCTCTAACAATTTCAAAGCTAGAACTTGATACTATATAACAAGTATCTTCATTTAATAAAATGACCTTTAGTTACCGAATATTTGTCAACTTGTTATAAATGCTGAGGAACATAGAGACAACTGTGTATTACCACTGTAAAACCCTGAGAAGTAGTTTGTGGAAATACCACCATTTGCAACACCATTTCCAGCACAGACGAGCCTTCTGTTTTATGCCAATTACATTCCTTGAGGGCTGAAGTGAAATTTCAATCATGTGTTAAGTGAGCTAACATATTTACCATTTTTCCCCAAAGGTTCCTATTTCTAATTGTGACTGGAGAAACAACTACTACAGAATCTAAAGTAGTGATATGTGTTTACCCTGAGAGATTAACAGCAAAAGCAATAAAACATGTAGAGGACTGTAAGCTGGCAATACACAGTTGGGGTTGTAACAAAGGCAGGATTTCACTTAGCTTTGCTGTAGTGGAATATTGTACAGAATCTGTAGCATAGAAAGTCTGCCAGAGCAATGGAAACTGGCCATGCTCTTCCTTTGTACAAGGGACTCACATAAAAAATAGCATGGTGATGTCAGGAATTGGTAAATAGCCCAAGGGGATGACAGGCCAGTGTTCCGACAGGCTTTGCCAACCAGTCTGGGGTTTAAACTGCATGTGGCCGTCTGGGAAAGCCTTCTCCTCCATGGTGAAAGAGGCTGACCAGAGATGGCACAAGGCAGGACAGAGGCACGTGCAGCAGGATGCTCAGAGAGCAGCTGTACCAAAAGCTTCTTCACACCCTCTGCAGCCTCTTATATCTGTTTATCCCCACCCCGACCATGCCCTCCAAAGGCGATCCCTGTGCCTGCCACCTCTCCACCTGCTGAGCAGATGTACTTTTTATGCAGCAGATGTTTCTGCATACTTGGTACTTGTTGGCACAGGGAGTGAGAATCATTAAAAAAAAAAATGTTTGGGGCTTGTTGCCAATGTTCATTACAAAGTTCATTTCTTATTTAAAGATGTGGCATTTTAAGGCCATGCTCTTTAAAATATTGGTGTTACAGGCACTGTGCAGTGCCCAGAGGCTGAAAAACGCAACATCTAAGCAGCCTATTCACACCAAAGAATCTGAGTAATTTCCGGAAAGGCTCACTTGCAGTCCAGTACAGATGGTACAAAGGTTCCCTCCTAATCCTCTCTGTGGTATGTTAAAAATAATTCAGAAAAACCTCACAGATCCCTCGGAGTGATGACAGAAGCCTCTGCTCATTTGCAAAGAGGAGACCTTTAGTGCAGAGGCCAGTGCAGTGGGTCCTGAGCTTCCCAAAGCTTCTGACATTGCAGTAAAATAGCATCAATTTTAATAATCTCAACCAGGTTTGCAAACTGTAAGCAGGTTTTCTTATCTGCAAAGGGGAAGAGCTAAGGACTACCTTTTTTCCAAGCCAGTTCCATTTTCTCAGCTGAAAAGCAAACAGTTCTGGTAAAGAAATCCACCTTGGGACTGGAAAAACCAGTCAGAACAAACACATTTGGGAACAGATTTCCTTTGATGCAATTTTCGGTTTCTTCCATTTTGTTTCCCCCCAAGGGAAACGAAAAGTCTAGCTGTGGGCACACCCCTGCACTCAGAAGATGCTTTGCTGGTGTGTTACATGTGGAAGAAATGAACCCTTTGCAGTCCAAACCTCAGCCTGCTGAGGACAATGGGTATGGAAACGTCAGGATGTCCCTCTGGCTTGCTGTGCAATGCCAGAAGTGCCTTTCCTCACCATGCAGAGGATGGAGATGGCTGCCCTGAGCCCCCTGAAGCTGGTCACACTGCCTGGGGAGGAGCCAGGAGTGGGGACCATGGGGAAGGGCCCTGGGGATAGGTACCCCCTTTCCATAGGAGAACATTCCCCGGCTCCCACCAGCACATGTACTCCTCTGGACCCCAGAGGATGCTGCAAGAGTGCAATACCCAGTGATATCTGATTTAGAGGGAAGCCAAATGAAAGACAGAAAGTGTGGTTTAGCTTAATCACAGCTATGCATCATGCCTCGTATTCCCGAAACATCCATACTACAGCAATATCCTGTTAAGCATCGCAGCTATTGGAAAATAGCAATTTAATCCCACGAGTAGCATTGATATTTCATGTTTATAGCTCTCTCCAGCTCCCTCTAGGCAGGGAACAAAATTTTGCTCTTACAAATGACAGTACCATCACTAATTACATAGTTATCAGTTTATTTTAATAGAAGGGTTATGTGGTAATAATGAGACCCAGAAGTGATTATAAATCATACATAAGGTTCATGTGATGCAAAGAGCTACACAGGTATCTCACTAAATATATTATGTTCTGGAGTAATAAATAACTATTTTCTGAGCCTTTTTGTTTGTTGATTTTTGTGGCATATAGCCCAGGCATTTTCAAATTTCCAAAGTCTTAGTTACTTATAGGAACTTTTTTGTAGTGGTCTAAAGAACCCTCACCATCACCTGAACTTGAAAAGAAATAGCTAGAATTTTTAGCTCATCGAGTAGTTCTTATGGTAATAAAAAGATGAATTAAGCAGAGTGAAATGCAGAACAAATCACAGAACTATTTACAGTTGGAAAAGATCTCCGAGATCATCGAGTCCAGCTATTAACCTAACACCACTAAATCATGTCCCTAAGCACTACATCTACATGTTTTTTGAACACTTGTAGGAACAGTGATTCCACCACTTCCCTGGGCAGCCTCTTCCAATGCCTGACCACCCCTTCAATGAAGAAATTTTTCCTAATATCCAGTCTAATCTATGAAGAACAGCAAAGCTGATCACCTGTACTCCATACCAGGAGATAATACCAACTTTGTAGAATTAAACGAAACCACCACCCCAACCTGATAGAAATAACCAAGAACACAAGCTGGGTCAAGATGAAGTTACTTACCTCCAAATTCATGCCACAGCTTAACTATCACTGTTCAAATAAATTTAGCAAAGCAGGTTTCATCCTGCAAAGTTTGGGATTTTCTCTCAGAAGAGATCTGAGTCCCTGGTCACCCATGAGATACAAAGACTTGTTGCAGGAAGAGCAGAAGAGACAGCAGTTCCAGCCTGTGTGTGACCTGCTCTGCCTGGTCCGCACAACAGAGGAAAAGCACCGTACTTCCCAGTGACAGGCAAGAACTGACTTCGAGCCAGCATCAGTTTCTTAATTTGCACTTAGCATTTGAAGACACTCTGGGATTTAAATGATATCCCAGATTCCCCTTCCAGTTCTCTAGAATTTGTCTCAGATGCTCCCTTAGTCTCCCTTTGAGACTGATTTTTACATGGACTTTTAGAGTTCATCCTATTTTTGAGATGGGCGGAATTATATTTTGGCCTATAAACTTGCTGAAAATTGGTTTCAAAATAGCTATACACATTGTAGGATGTCAATAACATCTAAATAGCTTTTACAGAATTGCCTCTAACTCCAAGTACCCCCTTGGCTCTCCAGGTCGATATTCCTTGCTTGTTTTGTCTCACTTTTAGTGAGCTTCTGTTGTGATATGGAGTAAAATTCCTACAACAGTTCAGCATTAGGGATCAAACTAGTAAATTGCTGTAACATGTCCCCTGTACCCTGTCATCTCATTTCTTGGTTTTGTTTTCTTTTTTTTTACTCTCAAAGCCATTAGCCACTCTTAAAGGACTGTCAGTTAGCACACAAGTCCATACGCCCTCAACGTGGCTGCTCTTAAAAAGAGGCTATGTAGATGTTAAAGAAACAGCCATTAGAGTGCCTCTTGTTTTGGGAGCCCGGTGCAGCTTTGCAGAGCCCATGTGAACAGTGAAAAAGAAGAGAAAATGGAGCAAATTCCATCTGATTTACTTGTCCTGGAACATCTCTGCTTGGTGGGCTGCTGTTTCTGGACTAGCACACAGAATCACGGAATCACAGAATATGCTGAGTTGGAAGGGACCCACAAGAATCGAGTCCAATTCCTGGCCCTGCACAGGGCCATCCCTAAGAGTTACACCATGTGTCCAAAAGTATCATCCAAACGCTTCTTGAACTCTGGCAGGCTTGGTGCTGTGACTACTTCCCCGGGGAGCCTGTTCCAGTGCCCAAACACCCTCTGAGTGAAGAATTTTTTTCTAATATCCAACCTAAACCTTCCCTGACATGATTTGAGGCTATTCCCTCAGGTCCTGTCACTGGTCACCACAGAGAAGAGATCAGTGCCTGCCCCTCCTCTTCCCCTCATGAGGAAGTTGTAACTGCAATGAGATCTCCTCTCAGTCTCCTCTTCTCCAGGCTGAACAGACCAAGTGCCCTCAACCGCTCCTCATATGTCTTCCCCTCAAGGCCCTTCACCATCTTCACTGCTCTCCTTTGGACACTCTCCAGTAGCTTAATATCTTTCTTATATATGCATTGCTGTGGAAAAGGACAGGGATTCAGTTATGTCCTGATTCATGACAACCGGAAGAGGCTGCTCATGGATCTGGATGGCCAGGGATGGGGTAACGCGGCCACCTTCTTTGCGTCTTCAGCACAGAACTTTAATGATCATAAACCAAAAGGCATATTTTTCCACAATGCTCTGAAACCTGTCTGACCACTGTCTTAGGGATACCTTGTCCCTCCACTCCAAGGCTTAAATTCTGTGACATCAAAATAACTTTAGTCTGACAGAGCCTCACTTTCTGATATGCATATGTAGGGTTTTTTTTAAGGGCAATCTATTATGCTTAAGATGTGTCATTTTTTGAAACTTCAGAGCTGCTTTCAAATACTGCAGATAATCTATTTACTGTAGCAATGTGATCAGACATGCTTCATGCTTTGGTCTGCAATAGAGCCTGGTACAGATTTCATGTACTGTCATCATACCCATGCTGATCGTGTGCCCACAAGGAACAGGTACATGTTTTTTCCTTACTACACTGCCATACAGTTCCTGCAGCAGATTTTCCTTCAGGTAATGGGCTAGCAAGGGAAGACATCATACACAGCCATTTAGGAGAAGGTAAAGTCCCAGTTTCCATATCCCTGTTGTCCATTGACGCATATTACAGGTAAAATGTGGGTAGGCCTTATTGTTAAAAAATGTTATGCTG